TGCAAAAAAAAAAAAACAAATTATCCACTAGTAACAGCTTGTTGAGTCTTTCGTGAGTATTGACGAAGTGCTTCACCGAGTAAATCCGGTATTCGAGCTTCATTTTCAATAAATGCCTAAAAAACCAAAGAAAAATAAAATAAAAATAATTTTTTGTTTGTTTTTTAAATACTTGAATAAGATCATGAGGATTTGTATCGTTAAAGTTATATTCAGCTACTTTAGAATTTGGATGTACAATTGCATAGAGTTGAAGAAGTGAAACAGCATCGTTCATTCTAAAAGAAAAATAGATTTATTAAACTTTCGATATGTTTGTTTTGATAGAAAACATGGAATTAAGCGTAAGTCGATTCTTTTTATTAATCAATGACTATCAATGTTGAAGGCTAAATAAGTATAGGAAAGGAGTATACATTGAGCAAGCAAAAATCTTTTAGTATCTGTCATAGAAGTTATGAGGTTCATTATTTATTATTTACGTGGAAGATATTTTATAAGGATTTCTATGTTGTTTGATTATAGACTAATATAAAACGAATTATTTACGATTAATCTTTCAAACTATCCGTCTGCTGTATATGAAAATTCCAATAATTGAACGACAAGAACTTAATATAAAAGCTAATTTCTGTTCAAAGATACAGTTTGATAACGAGGGAAGTCTCTCCAACTGATAAATCGCTTTTGAGTCGAGGTTAGGGGCATTATATAGAAACAAATATATGAAATTACTCTCGATATAGAAGCTCCAGCGCTTCTATTGTGTCCCCACAATTTTAACTTTTCGCACAAAGCTTCATAGATGGTATTAAATTAGTTTTTGTCAGGCGTCGTCTGCGTACAAAAAAGAAATTTTCTTCAGACATCAAATATTCATGAATAAGAAGAATCTTTAGAACTTATTTTCATTTTTTTGTCGACACCTGAGATCATCGTTACTATATACTCTATAAGTGCCACTTCGTCGGAGAACAGGTGTATGAACATCATTGCAGATTAACAACTTTTGCTTGTCATATCATGATATCGTATGTGTGTGCATGAGTCTTCTCTTCGGTAGTGCCCACACCCAAGGTTCTCGATTAGAGAGAACTTCCCCAAGATATCCGACTTTCTGCCAATTTGTTGCAACTTCTTGGTAACTTTGAACAGAAACCGGACTTTGAAGTATCGATTGCCTTTTAAAATTTGCATAGAGATAGTCCATCACGAGGATATTTCCTTGTGAATGTTTTAAATCTTATCACTGTTCCTATCTTAAGATACAGCTAAGGTAAAAACGTGTCTTTTACATCCCTCATATATAATGGTAGATTCGGTATTCTTGTTTCAGAATAGAAATAAATCCAGAGACCTAAAACTTTTACAATAAACTATTCTCATTAAGATCTAGCTCTGTAAGAAATTTCAAGTCAAAATTCGAAAATCAGTTTTCTTGGTATTCCTGAGGAGATCACGGCATTCAAAAACTACTGTATGTATACAGCAATAAACTAAGAAATCGAACTCTTTCCAGTATATTCAAAACTCATTTGAATCTGCATGATAAATAAAATTCCGACTCACAAGTGATTAATCTGTTGAAGAACTTTCCTCGTGAGTCCTATTTTCTTTCTTGTGATATATAAAATGAAAGAGCATCTTATCTGACAAAGTTTAATATTATAACGAGATTTTTGATCAATAAAACATTTAGGATATGTAAGATTCTTTAAAATAACTTACAAATCTCGTCTAATCATATCGTTCATAAATCGATCAATTTTTTTAAACCATACAAAATAAAAAGCCATTGGACCAAAATGTCTTGTTGATCGAAGTACATCATAAGAATTTGTTTGATCAATATGTTCATATATTCTATGTGTAACCTAAGAAAAAATTTGTTTTTTTTAAGAATTAATAAATAAACTATATTAAATAACTTACACGTATATAATCTCGATCATCAGGTTCAAATTGAGTACATGCTCGATCGAGTATAAATTCATAATCTCCTCGTTCTAAAATTTTCTAAATAAATTAAACAAGATATCCTAAGAAAATTTGTACATCATTTTTATTTTTTTTTTTTGTATTACTTCTAAATGTTCATCTTCAAACATTTTTGGCATAATTAATTCTCTTCCAACTATAGGAAAATAAATTTGTCTCATTCGTCGTTTTTCATCTAATGTTGCTGTTCGTAATGTTCCATCAATATCTCGAGCAACAATAAGACGATCCTAATATTTCAATAAAAGAGAAAAAAAAAAAGTTTTTTTTTTTTTTTTTTTTGTTTCTCGATTATTTAAATAAATATACTCGTATTGGTATTCCAAGTGATATATCTATAAATAAATGTTTACTTGTTGAAAAACCACTTAACATTTCATCTTTTTCAAGAATTTCAATATTTTCATTAGCTTCAGATAAAACAGGTGGCATTTGAAGTTTAGCTCGACCACGTTCTATTGTTTTTTCTTGTTCCTATGTAAAAGTATAAATTGAAAAAAAAAAAAACAACAAAAATGAAATAAATGTCTAATATACATACGTACTTCTTTGAGTTGTTTATCAGTTAAATATTTATAAACAATACGATCAAGATTTTTATTATTACGTACACGAAATATTCGTGATAAATCAAAACCAGTTATATTTATTAATAGATCTTGAACATCTCGACGAATAAATATTTTGCCTGGATCAATTTCAGATTTATCTAAAATAATAATTTTTCTTTAAAAAAATAGAATTTTAATTGTAAAGATTTTCATATATACTTTTGTTAGTACTATTATATTGAATTCGATTGATTAAACATCGCACACATGTGCTTGGACGAATTAATGAACGAAACATTAGATTATCGTAGATTGTACATAATTATTGTTGAATAAAATTAAATCTGAAGAAAAAATTCAAAGATTACGATTCCAATATTGCACAAAATACAAATAAGAGAAAAAAAACATTAAGTAAAATTGAAATACAAAAACAACAGCAATAAATTATTAAAATTCTTTCTTTTTTTTTCCTACAACTACTATTCGATTTTTTCATGTTATTCATTCATTGTATCTGACATTGATTGTTCTACCTGACTATTTGAATTCTGACTAGTACTTAATATATCATGGCTAACAGGTATAATACTAGAATCTGTTTCACCTATTGTATCAAATTCATTGATACGTATACGATCTACTGGATAAATATAACGTTGACCAAGATATATAAAAAATTTCGAAAAATTTTTTTTGTTTTAGCATCACGAAAACATTTAAGTCGCTACATTGTTGGTATTTTAATAACAAAAGCAAATAAATCATCAATAAATGTATTTCATGCTTTATATGTTATCATACATCATGATAAATGTGATACAGATTTAAGTTCATAATTAATAAACAATTGTGGTGCCATCATAATAAAATCTACGAGCAAAACAAAAACAAAATTTTCAATAAAAACAAAAAACACCAAATAGGATTCTATATTTACCAAATGTTAATAAAAATCCATAAATTGTACTTAAACAAAATGAATACTAACGTTTTTGTTCATGATACATTAATAACATGCATAACCAATAACTAATGGAAATAAAAATCCATAATAAATATTTAAAAGCCATCTAAATCAAAAGAAAAATAAGAATGTTTTTTTGTTTTCATTTCAAAATTATTTTTTATACTAACTCGATCATAATCTGATGTTGTTTGTTGTATTTTTATATGATTGTTTATAAACATATTTATATTTTGGTATAATACCAAACTATCTTTCATTTGGTACATGCTAAATAATACGAAAAAAAAAATTATTAGAAAATATACTTCAAAATTAACAACAAGAAAAAATACAAAGTCACTTTAAGATCAAGCACAGCTTTATTTTTCTATAACAAATTTTGTGTTTCGATTTCTTTAAAATTAATATGTAAGTTAGATTAGTATACCCTTCAATTGTTACGTCCCGTCTGAGATAATGTTAATCTATTGTTGGAAAACTATCGACGTAATTTCAGAAGGTAGGTCGTCTCAGTCACTATCTGTTCTTCTAAAAATTATCGAGAATCCGGTGCCAGTAACTACATATAGTACGATTTTTAATTTTTCTTTTTTTAAGTACGTTGTTCGATAACTTTATTTAAGAAATTCAATTTGAACAAAGATTATCTGTTCATGTATACATTTTGTCAATAATGAACTGCCGTTTATATATTAATCTTAAATATGATGGCATTCCACAGATACAAACACAAATAAATCCATAGTATAGATGATTGAGAAAAAAAAATTTGAGATATCTTTCTCTTGTGTTATCCTATGATCTCAAACGTCCTAAATTTAATTAAAATCAAGATTCACTTGAATAAAAAAAATCTACTTTCTCAAATTATTAAAATGGAAAAAACTAAAAGTCAACAATTAACTAGCTTTCCATCATGCATTTAATCATGATTATATTGAACTCTAAACAATCCTCTATTGAAATTCTGTTGATTTACATTTATTTAATGGTGGTGGAATATACTGCCTTTTATCCATAATGATTGCTCATCAAGTAAATTAATTGTAATATTCGAATGCCAATGTGATAAAGGTTCGACGACATTATCATCAGCTTTCTAAATAAAAATGTTTTTTTTTTTTGATAAAATATGAATCATTTAATATTATTTATATTAACCTTTTGATATTCTTTATTTTGTTTCGTATTACCCGTTAAAAGATTTTTAGTTTTTTTTTATAATTTTTTTTCTTAATATTTATTTAAACGTTTACTTTTCCAGAACCATTATTTTTTATATTCTAAAGAAAATTAAAACTTATAGAAAAAAAAAAAAGAAGAACAAAAGTATTGTATTATTTTATAAATCATACTTCTGAAATAGGAAATTCAATAAATTTCATATATATTCCTTCTGATGTCTAATCTCCATATTTTGAAATAATACAATATTCAAATAGGTTTTTTTCGTTGGATCATATTTATAAACTTGTTCTTCACTAATAAATATTCTAAAGCAAAAGTAAATCTTTAAATTTCAAAAAAGCAATAGAAATATTCTTACGAGTAAATCACCAGTTGTATAAAGATTTTCACGCATAGAAACAGTATTAGAAATTGATGGATTATTAATTGATAATCGTCTATTTACTATTGAATGAACTGTTGTTGGTCGACGAAAAAATAATGTAATGAAATAAATCATTAATATTCTAAATAGAACAGATGATTGACGTTCTCGAATACGAGGATTAAGATTATTTGATATTGTTCTTTGTTGAAAAATTAAATTTTCTTGTTGTTGTAAATTCTACAAAAAGAAAAATAATTGAATTAGAAAATGGCAAAAAGAATTAAAATAAACATACAGAATTTTCATCGATTTCGGATTGATTTTGATTTGTATTCGACATATTTTAATATATTATTTTTTATTTTCTTAAGCATTAGACATATGGCAGCCATTCTATGATATGATTTGATATAGTCGGTTTTTCGACCTCCAAATATCAGTTTAAAAAAAATTAAATTTTTCATTTGAGAATTAGTTGTTGAAATTAAAAATTAATTTTTTAGTATTTTGAAATTGTCTTTTTAATAGTTTGACATTTACTATTGATTGTAGCGCTGTTTCTATTAATTGGCTTTTTGAATGACATATAATATTTGAGTCTTGTTTTCATTAGAAAAATAATGCAGCATTAAATCTAAATAAGATCGACTTGAGTCTTCATCTATTATTATAATTCATCAATTAGAACTTGCCATTAAAATGTCTAATTCTAACATATTTTACAAAACGAATTGTTACTTCTGTCTTAACTCAATAATAAATCAATCATTGTCGAAATTTCTTAACAAAAGATTGATTGTTCTAATCATATACTTTGTCAAAAAAAAATCATTAAACACTATTTTCTTTATTTCTGTCTCTCAGTCTGTTTTTTTGATGTATTTTGTGTCCTAGGGACAATAGGCCTCTCAATGTTTATAAAATGACTTTATCATAATCTGTCGCTGAAACGAAAATTTTTTTCAACCGGAGGTAAATTCTTGAAAAAATTTCCTCTACTTTGAAAATAAAGGAAAGACCGGATTCTCTTTTTCACTTTCACATTTGAAGAACACCGAAAGCGATTTTGATTTACTTAACGAACACAAAAAGGTAATAGGAAAATTTAATCTTTATTAATCAGAAATTAAAAGAAGTTGTTTCGATTCTATCTATTAAGAAATAAAGCACAAAAGTTGTGCACGAAATTTATGCTCTTATCACTACAATAGAACCATTTCTTCATTCAAATTTTCTAAATGAAAAAAATTTTGCTACACTCAATAATTCTCCTCAACACATGTTGGTGCATATCAGTAGATTCTGTACGTTTGATCAAGCCACATTTATTATTTCAATTCATAGATGAAATTCTTTTCCAATTGATACATTAAATTTACTAGTGAACACAAGATCTTAGACGATAAAAATAAATAGTAACTAGTGTCTACCAAAATTATTTAACAAGATTTGTTTTTTAATTTTTTTCTGCTGCTGTAAACGTTCGAAAGAATTCAAACAGTGATTTGAATTGAGAGCATGGTTTCCAACAAGAAAGAGATTCCAAAAGATCAAGATCCTCATTTTTCAGTACCTACAACTGGTAAATATAGTTTTGTTTAGACTACACAGAACGATAGCGTAAACTATCCTCTACACAGAAAGAGATGTCGTCGAGTTCTCTGCGACATTTCTTGAATGAGATACAGCAATTTTATTGAAGATCACACAGTGATTTTTTTTGTATAGGAAATTGGTAAAGAACGTCGCAGACGTCTCATTTTGTAGAGAACTGTTTTCTCTAGCGGTCTATGTAGTCTAAACAAAACCATTTTTAGATGTTGAAAAACTAGGCTCTTGATTTTCTAGAATCTCTTTCTTGTTGGAAACCATTTTCTCTATTCGAATCGCTATTTGGAAAATGAAAATAAACCTTGTTGAGTAATTTTGGTACTCATTATATAATCAAAATAAATTTCAGGATTGCAGACGTTTTTGTTTCCTCTCTGTTTTACTTTGGAATTAAATATAAACAAAGAGCTAATGTTAATTTTAATGTCTTTGCATGTTTATGTGAGTTAAATTTAAGAACATTATTAGTCAAATTTGGAATATATAACTGCTTGAAAATTTCATATTAATGATATATATGAAAAGCTGAACATTAGATGACAGTCTAACTGCAAATAAAAATCGATACTGAGAAAATTTTCGCTCTAAAATTGAAGCTCATTTGTTTGATTTAAGTTTGAAACATTCAATTCATTGTGTCGATATCCAAAACTTTCGAACTATAAAAATGTTTTCTTTTTCTCAAGTTGTTGAATCTTTCCAAAGTACAGTAAGAGTATAAACAATACAAGTGATTTTTTGAATGGTCATCAGTTTTCTTTAGATTTTATTTTTAACGCTAACAAATTCAATGGCACAATCAAATATATCTAAATTTACTATTCCATTTTCAAATAATAGCGCTTTGTAATTCTGTAATAAAAGATATGAATGTATAAACCAAAAAAACAAATTATTTAATTGTTAATAGAATGTAATTATATGTTGAAGTTTACTTAATAATAGAGATCTGTTTAGATTATGTTACTCTATATGTAAACAATATTTATTTTGTGTTCTATATAATAACAACGATGTCGCATAATACTCTAGAATGAATTCTCGTACTAGATTTGTGTAATATTTCCACAACGTAGTCAATCGCGACAGTATATAAGAATGTATTTGTATGTAAAATATTTTTGATTTAATGACAAATTTTATATTCATTATTCATCAGCAATTCGTAGCGCAATTAAACGTATAGAATCAATACTTAGCAATATTAAATATTGTTGATGTATGAAGAATTAAAAATAGATGGAGTGTAACGAAATGAAAAAAGTTCGCGGCAACATGTTTCATACATTATTATAATTAAAAAAAAAAGATATATGAAGATACAGAAAACTTTTGAAAAAATAGACGAAATATCGTTTACGATTAAAATATCTACACAAATACCATTGATATAGTTTGAAAGTTTACTATTGATGATAATACATCATTTTTTATTTCTATCATTGTTTTTTTTATTAATTCTGTCTAATTGATACACAAAATGAAAACAAGCTCAACTTTAGTATTTATTTTATTTTTCAATTATTTAATCAAAAAAAAAACAATTTTATCTGTACAAACGAACATTCAAACATTTAATGAATTTAAAATAAAATGTAGCCCTAAAGAGGGCTGTTGGGTTTAATTGATAGTTCTTATAATTTATTGACTTGATGCTGCATTAGCAATAGCTTTTTTTATTTTTTTAGCTGTACCAGCTGATGAAACTGGCATTGAATCAGTAGTCATAGCTGATTTTTTTGGTAATAATAATGAATTAATATTTGGTAAAACACCACCTTGAGCAATTGTTACATGATTTAAAAGACGATTAAGTTCTTCATCATTACGTACAGCTAATTGAAGATGACGTGGAATAATACGTGATTTTTTATTATCACGTGCTGCATTTCCAGCTAATTCAAGAATTTCAGCACTTAAATACTATAAAAACAAAAACATGTGTTTTTTTTTTTTTTTTGTTGAGAAAAAACAACTTACTTCAAGTACAGCAGCCAAATAAACTGGTGAACCACCAGCAATTCGTTCACTATAACTACCTTGACGTAAATGACGATGAATACGTGAAACTGGAAATTGAAGACCAGCACGAGTTGATCGTGATTTGGCTTTGCTTCGTACTTTTCCACTACCACCTAAAACACTAGCATTTGATTTACCTCGACTTGACATTTTGTTTTTTTAGTTCGATTGTAATTAATAATAGAAATAAACTATTGATAAACTTTACCTTGTGTTTTCTTTTTCTATATATAGACAATATGTCTATACACACAAATGAACCAATAGAATGTGAATAATCGTGTGTTTCTATTCGTTCATATATATTGTCAGTGAATTGGTCTATATAAGTATAACATTGTTGTTCAACATCATTCTCATATATTCGATTATTCTTCGTCAAACAGCGATTAATATAAAAAAAAAATTCAATATGGCCCCAAAAGCTCAAACACCATCAAAAGGTTCAAAGAAAGCTGTTACCAAAACTAGCAAAGGTACAGCTGGAGCTAAAGGTGAAAAAAAACATAGACGTCGACGAAAGGAAACCTATTCAATCTATATTTACAAGGTTCTTAAACAAGTTCATCCAGATACTGGTATTTCATCAAAAGCTATGTCAATCATGTAAGTCATTATATATGAATTATTATTTTATATTGATTTCTATTCTATTTTTGATAATATAGGAATTCATTCGTCAATGACATCTTCGAACGTATTGCTGCTGAAGCTTCACGTTTATCACATTACAATAAACGATCAACAATTTCATCACGTGAAATTCAAACAGCTGTACGACTTTTATTACCTGGTGAATTAGCTAAACATGCTGTTTCAGAAGGTACAAAAGCTGTTACAAAATATACAAGTGCCAAGTAAAATGGTGACTTGAATAATGAGATGAATAAAATCACTCTCTCAATTAAAGAATCTTAAAACCCAACAGCCCTCTTTAGGGCTAAAATTATATATTATAAATTTAAAAAATATGGTTTCGTCTTAAAAAAAACTTTTCACTTGAATTTTGCTGTTGTTTCGTAGTTAATAAAATATTCAATAAATAAATAAATGAAAATTGAATTTTATTCTGAAGAAAAAAAATGTATTTCATGTGTACAGACTAAGAAAATGATTGAAAAGACAAATTTTTTTTTTTGAATATTGCAGAATTATTAAAAAAAGTATGCGGTCAGCTTTCAGATTAGTAGTTCTAACGTAAACATTTGCATTACAATCACAGGGCTAATTGAAACATAAAGAAAATTATTTTTCTCATTGTGATTTTTTCATTTGTTCAAATTGATTGAGAATGTGACGAACTAACTTCATCAAACATTTTCTCTTTGCGATTGCTTTTGTTTTCTTCTTTCCTCTATCGTTTATTGAGAAAGAAAATATCATTGTTTTCATAGTTGACATGACTCATTCAACAATGAAATCAGTTTCATTGCAAGAAGTTCTGCTGCCGAATAAAAAGTACATAAACTTTAATCATTGTGACTACGAATAAAGATCGGTAAATTCTGATTGCAAGCCGCAACACGCGGTTAATACCTCTTGATGCAAACAATTTACGATGAAAACATTGTTTTTTTTTTTCTTTAATGCCGAAAAAAACGGCTTATTTGACACTTTTCTGGATTTTCAATATTTAAATATATTAAACTCAATTTTCCTATTAACAAATAAAGAGTGACTAGAGAAGATTTTAAGGTAAATGGTTAA